CCCCAAAACCCCAAAACCCCAAAACCCCAAAACCCCTTAGATTTCAGAAGGAATTGAAATATTTTATTAAAATAATGAATTGTATTTTTCTTCTAATTCTTTACTTACTCATACTTGCTTTCTTCGTCGTTTCCTTCTTTCATATCAGCCTTCAAGCGGATCAGAACAAAATAGAGGTTAAATTTCATGTTCCTAATATTTCACTGGTTTCAGACTCATTTAAAATGTAGCTCAAGGGGTAAATGATTCAGACAAAAATCATAGGTATTAAGTATTTGAAGTAATTGCAAATTAATATTACTTCTAAATATAGTAAACCTTTTAAACTTACCGATCCTCTAGAACTATATCCTTTCCTTGTGACTCCACTATAAAAGACTTCATTAAAAAATCCCAACCAGGAAACTCTCTCTTCTAATCAAGTTTGATGCTAAGATTTATCACAACCAATAAAACAAAGCTAAAATTTTATAAAATCCAACATCTGTGAGCGAATCAGATTTAACATCTTACATCTTGGAATTCTATATTAAAAGTTAAACTAATTAACTCCTTTGAGTCATAGTTATCTTAGAAACTGCTTCTTGTACAGGACAATTATTGTTAAGCCTAATGTCTCTAGTTGACATCACCAATATAGTATCCCTTCTCAACAAGTATGACTGAATTATAAGCATCAAGACCGTCTAGCTCTTAGGTCATCTTCAATACACTGTTTATATCTTGGTTCTTTCATGCCTTCATATTGTCATGAAGTAATAAAAATTTATCAGAGATTTTTGAGAAATTACTAAAGCTAATATGAGTATTTTGTTTTGGCAAATTGCCTCGGAATATTCTCTAAAGTACTTTTGTCATCATCTAGATGACTAAAAGCTTCTGAAATTAATGATTTTGATCCTCAGGTTCGGTTCCGTTAGAGCATACATTTTTATAGCTGGATTGGAATGTTATTATTGTTCTATATTTATGCTGTCTTAAGGGGTTTTGGGGTTTTGGGGTTTTGGGG